TACTTTATAATACAATAATTATAATATTTAGATCCACTATCATAAGGTATGCTGGAATCTAATTTAATAATCTTCTGTTTTTATTTGAAGGAGCAAGCTTTGTTAGGCAAATCATATCATCATCATCATCATTGTGCCATGCCAGATCTGGCGTTGGCTATCATATTGTGCCATGCTGCACGATCGTGGTAACCTTGCAGCAGCTCAAGTTTCTTCTTCCCGGTGATCTTCGTCAATGAATCCAAATACATCTTCCTAGGTCTACCCCTACTCCTCCTTCCATTTATCCTACCCGTGCACATAAGTCCCTCAAGGCCTTCTTTTCTTAGAACGTGGCCTAAGAAGCTCAATTGTCTCGTGTAAATATCGGCAATCAATGATCTTTTCGTTTCTGCTCTCCTTAGGACTTCTTCGTTTGTGATCTTATCATACCAGCGAACCTTCCACATACGTCGTAAGAACCACATCTCCGCTGCCATCAGTCGTTTATCCATCCATATATATGCAGATGTTATATATTATATGCAGATGTTATTAACACACAACAGTTTTGTATTATTGAGATGTCAGTTAACTTTAGACAGCAGATTAATGGAGTAAGAGTATAGGGTACAATTACTTCTCCCAAGTATAGTATATATGCATAATTTGAATCTGTCTATGTAATATTACAATCTATGTCTGTTAATTATTTGTTATTAAAATATGCACTTATTCACTCTCTTCAATTTATTTTATAGTCTGGAACCAGTGTATCATACAGTGCAAAGTACAAGTGTTAATGGAAAGTATTGAAGTGATCATCAGAATCATCAAAAAGATGATGTATGGTCATTTTCCCTGTTTCAGGTATGGCAATGAATTTATTATGAATATAAAGTATTTCATGTCCAATTTGGCTTTAACGTTTTCACATATTGATTTATTAAGATAATTTTATTACATTTGTTGTATGTCCRCAACAAGTAACCATATCAAAACGAAATCAGAAGTGAGGAAAGAAAATGGTTGCTAGTGAATGCTAGTCATCATACATTTTACAAGTCTATGTCAAGGTATTTTTTATTTGTATGTGGTCTGTAGGTGAAGGGTCAAGCATAAATCAAATTGTTGTTCAACCAAATTTCTTATGCATCATAGGACAAGTACAACATATGAAAACACGATCTTAGGCAGGTTAAAAACAAGTCATCACATGTAAAAGGGAAATGTAATTATGTACTTTGTAATTATGTGGTCTGTATGTGAAAGCTCGGGCATTAATACTTTATTCAGTATTAATTTTTTATATTTCTTTATTATTAGGACAAGTACAACATATGAAAACACACAATCCTAGTCAGGTTCAAGCAAGTAAGGGAAATGTAAGTGAAA